GATAGAATTTCAATATTCCTGCACTGTTGACCTTTGTGTTCATAGGATTTTGGTCATGTATAACTAATGCGATAAGTAGGGCATCGGACGGATCAGAAATTGGTTAGGATTGATTAATGATGCATCATTTATTTGAGAATTGCCTTATCCAAGCCGACTATTTGTAAACCCTTTTGTCGCATTGCATAAATTATTCATCGTCGAATTGATTATGCTTCAGCATTCGCACTTGCAAATTGGTTTGGGATATTTATTTAGAGGATTCTTTGGATTCCAATGGGTTTTCACTTTTTCTCTTACTGTTGGTGTCTCCTTTGTTTGACGCCTTTTTAGGACACTGTTAACTCGAAGGTTATCGACTGTTTTAAATTATTAGCGCGGTTTTCAGGCATTTGATTATATTTTTCCCGACGGATTAAAAAAAAATTCAGTTACTGAACAAAGAAGTATTTCGTGTATTTTAAAGTTGATTTCTTGAGAATCAGGTAAAGTTTTTGCGCTGAATGTTGCCAGTGACTATGCGAAATATGCGTTTATTAGGAATTTATATATTTTGTAACGAGGGAGCAAATGTTGCTGATGCTAAAAGAAAATTTTCAAGTAAAAGCACCCCAATTTTTCTAATGAGTTTGACCGCAAAGTTAGCTGGCAAACTTTGGAAAACCGCAAAAGACAAATTACCCGTTTTAGATCCCCAAACTGTGTTATTAACTATTCTTTGCTGAAATTAAAGTCTTGAAGCGCTTTGAAAATAATAGGAAAACCTTAAAATTCTTTGATAACTTCAAACGTTTTTTATATCTGGATTGCAATCTGAATATTATTTGCCGTTAATAGCAAGCGAGTGATTTTAACGAGCAAATTTAATAAAGCAGTAAATAATCGCTTCTATAATCATTGGTATGGTTTAAACGATGAAAACAATGCTCAAAGACTAAAATTATTGTGCCTGAATCAACGGAGATTAAAGTTGACTTAGTCGTTTTCATTTGAACCAAGTTAATGTAGCCACAAGGCTTAAACAAAACTCCTGAGAAGCTCGATATACAAAACAGGAATGCCGCAAATTGGCCAAGAACAATATAAAATGGCCACACAGTATTTCACTTTTAAATCCCGAGCAGAAAGAGCATTAAGTAAATAACGGTAATCCTTACTTTGGACAGGTTAAATACGTTCCACCGCAGAGCATCACATTTTAAGTAGCAAAAGGTAGGACGTGGAGGGTTTTTGCTAGCCCGAGGCCCTCAAAGTACTCACCAGGGAGCATTTAAGTTAATTCTTCATATCGTCCCTTGTTCTGGCTTGTATCAGTGGAGTCTACCGACTTTTATCTTGTGTTTTATTCGCTTTTTGGTTAGGAGCATTTTAATCTGCAGTAAATATTCGACTTGCTGTTTATAAAGACGTCGCTTGCGGTCCATTTTCCGCGGATTTGGGTGTAGAGAAAAGATATGACCGAGGTTTAAATGGGAAATATGTGTGCTATGCAAATCCGAACAACATTCGGGAAAGTGGAATTCCGAATTCTGTTTGTGATTGTTTTGTGTGCCACGACAAACAAAAGGAGTACGTTTCCTTAACGACTTTGCGCTACTCCTTCGGATTCCAAATCGGCGGTGGTAGTTGTGTTTTCAACATTTTACTATTGTTCTTTTAGCCTGAATGGAAATGATTTTTCCGATAAAGGAAAATATTGCTTTGATCTGTTAACTTTCTTGAGACATGTGGTTATGCTTTTGGGAAATTGCCTGCAGATTTGCGGGATAAGTGCAAATAGGGGATGAAAGAGTTTCTGATTTAAACTTTTCCCAGCCAAATAGCTTTTCAGAGACATTTGTGTTCTGGTGTTTTACAGTTTCTCCGCATAGGAAAGTCATGAAAGGGGCTGTTTACTCACGTGTTTTTATATATTTATCAACAAAGGACGAGACAGTACATTTAAATGATTTGACAAATTCCCCATCATTTATTTCTTAGGTTTTTCTGGTGGCTTCTCAATTTTCTGTTTGGCCTCTTCAATTTTTCCTTTGGCCGCTGTTAATTCCGACTTTGCCATTTGTGCGCCTTTGGCCGACATGTCTTTGAACATCCTCAGGGCTGCGAGCTGTTGTGGTGTGGCTTTTTTCTGGTAATCCTGGTACTGCTTAACAATTTCGTGTCGTCCAACAGTCACCAGCTTGCAAGTGGTGTTGGCTGCGATCACCAGTACCATTTTTGTGATTTCTAGTGCCGCAGTAGCCACATCACCGATTTTATTGGACATTTTGCTTGGTCAGTGCTGACATTTTTTGGTTAGTGAGCCAGTTTGGATTGACATTTTTAGATCCAAAGGTAA